TTTTTTTTTTTTTTTTTTTTTTTGGTCTTTCGAGACAGGGTTTCTCTGTAGCTTTGGAGCCTGTTTTGGCACTTGCTCTTGTAGACCAGGCTGGCGATAAATCATTTTATAAAGATGAGTGATTTGTGACAGTAGACATAGACTAAGTTTGCTCTCTTTCCATAGTGCGTCACAGTGTTTTATTATTTATGTGTATTTGTGTGTATCTCTGTGTGCAGTTACCTGTAAAGGTCAGAAGAATGTCAGATCTCCTGAAGATGGAGTTACAGGAAATTGTGAACTGCCCAATATGGGTGCTGAGGACCAAACTCAGGACCTCTGCAAGAGCAAGCAACCCATGCTCTTTTTTTTTAAAAAAAAAAATTTATTTATTATGTACACAATATTCTGTCTGTGTGTATATCTGCAGGCCAGAAGAGGGCACCAGACCCCATTACAGATGGTTGTGAGCCACCATGTGGTTGTTGGGAATTGAACTCAGGACCTTTGGAAGAGCAGGCAATGCTCTTAACCACTGAGCCATCTCTCCAGCCCCAGCCCATGCTCTTAACCACTGATGCTATAGGTCCTTTGATGTTTTACACAGAGGAAGGATATTCAGTGTACAGGATTACAACTCAGAGAGAGCCCTGGATCTTCTGGCGTTTCATAACGTGAGAGGACAGACTGTCTCCTCCCGCTACCCCTGGGATTTCCCTGGTCTGATGCTTGTGAGGAGGGTGGGGGATGTTAGCACCAGGAGTATTCTTCCTTTGCAGTGATTCTCAGCCTTCTCATGCTGCGACCCTTCAGTCAGCCCCTCGTGTTGACATGACCCCAGTCACAAAATTACTTCACTACTACTTCATAACTGTAATTTTGCTACTGTTATGAATCGTGATGTAAATATCTGATATGTGAGATATTTGATATGTGACCCCTGTGAAAGGGTCATTTGAGTCTCAAAAGGGTCGGGACCCACAGGTTGAGAACTGCTGTTCTATGTTGTTTTGTTTGTTTTTAAATTTTTTTTAAAAAAATCATTCATATGGGTGGGTTTTTGAAAACTAAAGCAATCTGCCAAGCATGGAACCTCTGTGGTGTGACAGAGAATGGAAGAGGGTGGATTGGGGGTCCCTGGGAAGGGTGGGCACTCCAGCTTGGTTGAGAGGAGCCCAGTGAGTAGTCAGGAGAGAGCTGGAGCCAAATCAACTAGGAGCAAGTACATGGTGCAGCCGCACGAGCCTCATTGTGCTGTGTGCAGAGCCTCACTGTGCTGTGTGCATAGAGCCTCACCATGCTGTGTGCATAGAGCCTCACTGTGCTGTGTGCATAGAGCCTCACCGTGCTGTGTGCATAGAGCCTCACCGTGCTGTGTGCATAGAGCCTCACCGTGCTGTGTGCATAGAGCCTCACCGTACTGTGTGCATAGAGCCTCACCGTACTGTGTTCATAGAGCCTCACTGTGCTGTGTGCATAGAGCTTCACTGTGCTGTGTGCATAGAGCCTCACTGTGCTGTGTGCACGAGCCTCACTGTGCTGTGTGCATGCGTCTTTCAAGAACTCCCTTTAAATGTGCTACACTAGTTATTTACTTACCTTGAATCAAATGGTTAGAATATGTTCGTGAAAGTTTTTGTTTCCTTCTTTAGGGTGACAAATGACAATTGTCAAAATCTCCCCAAGATCTGTCAGCAGAAACCACGACCCAAAACCTCAATAGTGAAGACAGGGGACACCAAATCTGTCAAGGACCATTCTAAACAGGTCACGATGACTGCTTGATGTCGTAATATCACACTTGGCTGATAAATGGCCTCAACAAAAAAAGCTTATTTCTTTGTTGTTTTTGAAGTTCTCTTTTAAAAATTACTGTATGGTTTAATTAAACTGTAGAATTCCCTGAATACTGTAGATGTTTTAGTATGTTGGAAGAAAAAAATGGAAGAAAATGTTCAAATTCCTAGATTTGCTAGCTCCTTCTCTAGTTTTAGCTCAGGGTCAGGGAACTGGATGGTTTGGGGATGGCTGGTAAGATCCTCATAGTTGAGAGAAGTAGAGAAAGTCCTCCTGCTTCCCAGTGTGGTCCAGGGGCAGTCTAAGATACCGCTGGGCCTCGGCACCTCCTGCTGAGCTTCTACAAAGCATGTAGGGTTACTCCTCACCCCTACCTCAACACTAGACTTTCTAGAAGGGAGGGCAGCAAGAGAAGTGGGCCCAGTAGATGGGTGAAGTCATTGGCTCCCGCCTCAGGAGATCTATGTCCAGGACCTTCTTATCTAGAGCAAAACATTCCAGGTTTTAAAGAGCAAGGGACAGTGGAAATCAGGAAAAGGATCAGCAAAGGTTACTGCTGAGGACGAGTGGGATGGGAAGAAATGATCACGGGATTCAGTTGTCTTGAAGAGGGTTATGTGCCCAAGGTAGAAGGGAGGTGACGTGGGACAGGTGAGTTCCACAGGGGATGGGCAGTCAGAGCCTGGGTCTCCGCTGCTTCCACATCTGGCTTCTCATGGTCTTCCTTTTCCTCCAGGAGAATGTCAGTAATGCTCAAGTAGAGAATGCTGACTTTGGCCTAAACATATCAAAAATCCAGAAGAATGGCACAGAGGAAAAGGCCCATCCACGAAGAGTAAGTGGAACTCAGGACCCTAGGGTGGGACGGGGGAGTTTGTTTCTCTCTAGAAAAAAGGAAATCACATGATTTTTGCCAAACATGACCATGGCAACAAAAGTATGAAAGGTTGGCTGTGGGGTAAGAAAGGAATATCCCAGGAGGACCAGAAACCTGGCATGCGATTCTGATCTGCCCGCTCCTTTCTGGAAGAACCTTCTAGAGTGATCCTTCTCTAGGGATCACAGGCTCCTCATTTGCAAATGGACATTCAGAAGAGAGAGGGTTCTTTTCAGTTTAAAAATTCAGTGATGAGCAGGGGTGTAATCAGGTGGTAGAGTGTTTGCCTGCTGGTCACAAAGGTCTGTGTTTGCTCCCTCCCTGCTCTGAGAAATGGTTAGGAGCCCGTGATGCCAACACAAAGAGCCCGTGATGACAACGACAGACATTGGTGTGCTGCACTAGAGTGAGGACAGCCCAGAGGGTCCCCTACTCGTTTGTTTATGACCCTGCCAAGGGTAGTTGCTTAATGCCCTCCTGCTTAGAGGCATGCTCCAGACTTGAGTACAATTTATTTGTGATCCATGAAGATTAGTTGGTTTAGAGCTGATCCTGTGCTTAATAGATATTTCTGCTCCCCCTTTCCTTCCTTCGCCTCCTTGTTTTTTTATTTTTTATTTTTATTTTTTTTTTTTTTTTGAGATAAGGTCTCACTAGCTGGCATAGAACTTACTTTATAGACTAGGCTGGCCTCTAACTCACAGAAATCCTCCTGCCTTTGCCTCCCTAGTGCTGGGATTAAAGGTGTGCACCACCAGCTATTTCTGCCTTTTTTTCTGATGAAACTCAGGTCCGGCTTTGTGGGAAAAAAAAATAGTTTCTCCAAGAGAAAAGTCCCAAATGGGATGGATGTAGCAAAGGTAGGGGTAGTGGACCCTTTGGCAAGAAGAGTACATGTTCCTCCTGAGGGACCCTCCAGGGTGTCTTTCATTAACTATTCTCCTTCAGCCAAGATGTTGAACCATGGGTTGCTGCCCTACACACAAACTGGTCGCTGTGGTGTGTTCTGGAAAGGCTACCAGGCACACAAAGCCTGGGGACTGCCTTCCCTGGTCTGCATGGCTCCCTGGAGGCCTCAGGGAACTGATGAGGCAGGAGAGGATGCATTTGCCTCCCCCCAGAAAATGCTCCCTTGTTAGTCCTCAGTGCCATCTTTAAATTCTGAGTCCCCTGTGGTGTACCTAGCTGTGCTGTGGCTTTAGTCTCTTGTGAATGCCTCACACTGATCTAAACGGTGCCTCTGCGCGAGTCACAAGGAAGGGGCCAGTTAACCCAGCACTTAACCTTTGAAATAGTCTGCCCGTAAATTCTGTTTCTAGCAGAAAGGCTTTGTGTAAAATGTAGATAGATTTTTTTTCCCTCCTAGATTTTCAAATGTTCATGGGTTGGGTGACAGTGCCTAGGAGGTTTCCCCTACGAGGGTTTCTCATCACTGTGTTAGGGACTCTAGCGTTGGATTCTGCCGCCTTGCTGAAGATGTCAAAAGTATGTTGTTCTTTGGAGTAAAGGCTGTGGAGTCAGTTTGCCCAAGCACTGCTGCAGTGGTCAAGTTGTGGTCAAGCCTTATGTTTGTTTGTTTGTTTTTGAAATCTGTAAAATGGAAACCATAGCACTGCCTGCTTTAACTGTGAGGTTGAAAGGAGAGCCCATGTCTTCACTGCTGCACAATAGACAGTCGGTAAACACTGCTGGTTGCAAGTGTGTCTTACCTGTGCCGTTGACTTCCTTTCCCGACTCTAAGGGAAACAGGACTAGAGCTTGGAAGATTATATCAGTTACTCTTTCTATTGTGACCAAATGACTGACAGTGGCAGCTAAAAGAAGAGAGGATATGACTCCCTGCTTTAGGGGATGTCCATCATGGCTGGCAAGGCATGGCAGGGTGTTTGTCTGTGGTAGTGAGAGCCTGAGGTTGAACTCCTTCCCTGGTGTCCAGCCAGGATGCAGAAGCTAGACTAAAGTTAGAGGTAAGTGTAACAACCATCAAAGGACCTCTGGCGGTAACCTAGGTCTGCCAGGCAGGCAGCAGTGCCTCCTGGGCCAGACCCATGCCATTAGGACCAGATATTCAAACTCATGACATTTCAGAGTCAAACATAATAGCAACCATCTGGGTTTGAGTCCTGGCCTCAGCCTACTGTTAGGCTTGTGGCCCTCGGCAAATTGTTTAACTTCCCCAGCTTCCCTTCACAGAAACAAAATTAAAATGTCACTCACCACTGGCAGGGGTGGCCTGAGAACCTTGCCTACCTGTCTTGTCCCAGGCCATCCTCCCCTGAATGAAGCATGCATTCAGCACACGGGCCTTTCTTTATCTGCGTCCCAGTGGGTTCTTCCTGAATATCTAACATTTTATTTTATTTTTTTTAAATATTTATTTATTTATTTGTTATGTATACAATATTCTATCTGTGTGTATGCCTGCAGGCCAGAAGAGGGCACCAGACCTTATTACAGATGGTTGTGAGCCACCATGTGGTTGCCTGGAATTGAACTCAGGACCTTTGGAAGAGCAGGCAATGCTCTTAACCGCTGAGCCATCTCTCCAGCTCAATATCTCACATTTTAAAGGAGTGTGGTCAGACAGGCCAAGTGTTGAGTGTCAAGGATGCAAAACGTCCATGACTTTTACTCATCTAACTCCATTCTGAAGAATTAATTTAGTTTTGTTTTTCTACATAGTCCCAACTTCTGCAAATCATCTTATTCAGCAGTAGTTCAGCTTTTCCTTGAGATGAAATCTGCCTGCCATACAAGGGTATAGACACCCAGCTCCAAGGCTACTCTGCTCTTGTATGTTTATGGCTTAAATAACCATTGCTCCCTTTTAGGGCCAAATCATTGACTTCCGAGGGCTGCTCACAGATGCTATCAAAGGAGCCACCAACGAACTCGCCTTGAACACTTTTGAATGTAACCCAGACCCTTCGGTAAGTGACCAAACCACCCAAATCTCGTGGAACTTCTAGGAGTATCACCCCGAGTCCAGAGAACTGTGAGATCCAGTCAAAGGTCATTGCAACCAGTCACCGTTAGTTTCTCCAAGATCCCACTTTCCTTCCTACATCACGGCGGAGCAGTTTTGTAAGGCCAGCCTTTCTGCTCCTCTCCCCAGGAGCGGCTGCTGAAACCTCTGAGTGCATTTATTGGCATGAACAGTGAGATGCGAGAACTGGCAGCCGTGGTGAGCCGGGTAAGATCTGCTGTTCAATTCACAAATTTATGGAGGCAGACCAGGGCTCCTGGAGCATTGTGGGCTGCTTCTTTTATTAATAACAATAAATATGATCATTTATTTATAAAGTGCCCCCACTTGCAGAGGCACTCATATTGTTTAGAGGCACAATAATGCATGATAAATAAATTATAGAATCATAAAATTACAATAGAAAAAGCCCACCATCCTACTATAGGGGCCAAGAAAACAGACAGCAAAAAAGATGCAGAAAGGGACCGACAGGTGAAAGGCTTTCTGGCGGGCTCCAGAGCAGGGGAGAGAGGGCTCTAAGAAAAGCTCGGAGCACACATGTGTTCTGTTTAAAGAGCCCCAGTCTGAAAATGCGGGGTCTGGCAGTGTGATGGCCTCACTTGGAAATTTCCTTGAACGTAACCAGATTAGTAAGAAAGATTTTTTTACCACTAGGCTAAGGATACTTCAAGCTTGCACCGTGGACCTAAGGGCGGTGAAAATGAACGGCCAGTGATGCGGCCCTGAAATCCTTTGACTGCACTTGATTTCTGGAGCCTTCTCTTTCTAGCTGGATGGTTTTAAGCAAGCTTCTTAGGTTGAGAATAGATTATTGATTACAGATGACTTTCCTAATTTCCACTGATCTCAGTTTAATTGAAGAGGGAAACTGAGGTAAGGTCAAAAAGATTCTTTAAAAAAACTCCTCCAAAAAGCACACAGTTGCTGAGCTGCAAGGGCATCTGCTTCAGAGGCACTACCAGAGTCTGCTGAGGGCCTGCAGACAGAGGCGGTGACTCCACCCAGGCTTGCCTCGAGAGACTCTGGTTGCGTGGATGAGTGCATCTGGGGAGCAGCAAAACTGGGGTGCAGAGAGGGGCAAGATTCTCCACCCTGAGCAGTATCCAGGATGGAGAACTGGGTAGAGATGAGAACCCTGGATTAGCATCCCTCTCGGGGCACAGGTCATCCTGTGTATTGAGCAGCAGTTTCAGTGAGGCGGATGTGGTAAATGATGGAGAAGAGAGGCAGCTGTGAGGTTTCCACCAGCGAAGCAGGGTAAAGAGCAAGCCTGCCAGGATGCATGAGGAAGCAGAGGCTGATGCTCCTCTTACCCCCCAAATCTGTAGTCTCCTTCCTGTCTCTACAAAAGGATAGTATGAAGTTCAGAGTAGAGAACAGAAGTGACCTGCAGGGATCCCACACTCCTGAGGAAGGGGACACAGGTCCTTCTTGTATGTTTCCAGTGATGGGAAGATCATTTGCAATGACAAATGACTTTGGATGTGTACAAGGAAGAACTTTGGGTTGGGAAATTAAACATCACCTTGTTAAACTCAGTGTCACCTCTAGACTGTGGAGGGAAATGCACTTATCTACAGATTGTTCAAATACCAAAGTAGATGGAGCCTCATTGTGTGCCAAAATTTCCTAAGAAAGGCCTCAATAAGAGATGTGTGCTCTCCCCAAGTTTTGGAAGCCTGCGTTGGGTGTGATATAATCTCCGTCATCTCGCACTCAGAGGATGAAGCAGGGAAGGAAACCCAGCCACACAGTGAGTTCCAGGCCGGGGTACGGAATGAGGCCCTCTCTCAAAACACAAAATATGGAAGACTGGGTCTTTTATCCACTCCCTTGTCCTACAATGGACAATATACATCACGTATGACCCAGTCATTTCTAGTAAATACTGCAGTGGTATTTTGTGTTTTAGCAAATAAAGCTTGCCTGAAGATCAGAGTGTGGAGCTAGCCACTAGTTAGCCATAGAGGCCAGGTAGTGGTGGCACACACCTTTAATCCCAGCACTCTGGAGACAGAGACAGATGGATCTTTGTGAATTCAAGACCACCCTGGGCTACACAAGATTGGTGTAGTCTAAAAGAGAAAACGAGCCTGGCGGTGGTCGCTCACATCTTTAATCCCAGGATTTGGGAGTCACAGGCCTTTAATCCCAGCATTGAGAAGGTGGAGACAGGACGGGGTATGCCTGGGCAGAGAGAGGAAGATAAGACAGGAGGAGACGGGAGCTCAGGGCATTCAATCTGCGGATTCATAGAGACAGGATCGCCCTTTGGGTCTGAGGTTGGAGTAAGAACTAGTGGCTGGAAGGAAAAGAAAGAAAAAAGAATTCAAGCTACAACATACTTCTCAGTAAAGTGGAACTCCTGGTGGGGAACCCTGGAGGGAGGGTAGTAGCCATAGGACCATAACATTTTTTGCCATTTAAAAAAAACATACTTTTATATATTTGAAACATGTGCACATAGCACGTATTTAAAAACACAGACACATACACAAAACAAGTAGATAAACAGTTTCCAGACTTGTTCTTTACTCAGAATGACATAGGAAAGGACCTTAAGAGAAAGTAATACTCCAGACGTTGTTTGCCTGAAATAGCTCCGATGGAGAAGGGCCCAGAGCGACTGTTCAGAGGCGTCTTGTGAAATTGAAATTGGAAAACTGTAAATTAGTAATCAGTAAAAGCGACTTAATTGATTGCCCTGGGGTGGTCGCTACAGGGCTCTCCCGTAAGAGGGGAACTGCGCGCGCACTAGGTTGTTGGCCTCCTCGAACGCTGCAGAAGCAATCGCTCCAGCTGGAAGCAGGGAATGCTCACTAGGGAAAAGGGAAATTGGTTTCAGGGGAGCGTAGGAGAAGTCTCTGTTTGCAACAAATTAAGAAAGTGTTTGCCAGATCAAATAGCTAGACAGATACACAGCTACGGTAAGGATATGTTTCCCCCTAAAAATTAAGGTAATTTGAAGGCATTTCTTGACTGTGACCATAACGCAGCACAGGTTGCTATAGGCTGATGGCAGGTGTAGCTCACTCTTATACCCGCCCCCCCCCTCACCAAGTACCATATTTTACTATCAATATCTTCTCCAGGGAAAAATCATTGACTATTTTCCCATCTCTTTGGTAAAGTAACCCCAACTTATAATGTATGCATAGGTCTACATTATAATACTCGGGAAACATTTTTTTTTTATCATCAGCACATTATATCCTATTAAGTCGGGTGTTCTGTGCTGCCATGTTTGTTCCAGAAGTGGAAGAAAACGTCAGTTTTAGCAAAATAATCAAATGCATATTGCAGGACATTTATCTCCATAACCCCAACATAAAGTGGAACGATATTATTGGACTGGACGCGGCCAAGCAGTTAGTCAAAGAAGCCGTTGTGTACCCAATAAGGGTAAGTATGGGAAACCATGTTTCTGATTGCTATCAACTAGACAAGCTATGTCAAGAAAAGACGGCATGGTGACTTTTCTGTCTGTAAGGTAGCCTTCTGACTGGGCCACTCTTGGTCAGGGCTAGAGCATCGCGTGTAGTCTGTGCTGTACCAGTTCAAGTCCTGTTCCTGTTGCAGCTCTTGCAGAGGGGAGGTTCCCAGCACCCACATCAAGTGGCTCGCAGCTGCCACTACAGCTTCCCATGAGTTATAATACTATAACTCTAGTTCCAGGGCATCCACTGCCTTCTTCTGGTCCTCAGGCACTTGTGTGTTACTTGTGCATGCTACCACAAAATAAAAAAAAATCTTTCTAAAAAGTCACATTCTATATTGGTTCAAAGTGTCTGCGCAGTGGTAACTGAAGACCTAAGACATTGTGGAATAGAGCTTTTCAGATGCTAAACACTGACCATTAGCCTGCCTCCCTAAGAGTGCGCTCCCTGTCGTAGACCTACCTCCCAGGAGAGGCCTCTCATTTGTTCCTATGGATCTGCCTCAGACCTACCCCCCCCTCCCATTTGCCATCAGGGGCTTTGCTCGGCTAGACAGACAGTCCCTTCCAGGGCTGTGACCAGCAGGCCAGCATGCTGTTCTCATCACCTGCCTTTGACCGTTTTCTACACACCTCATGAAACAAACTGACAGAAGAGACGGCACACTTCAAGAGGGGTGAGGAGACGGTCAGAGTATCGCAGCGTGTTTGCTGTCTGACAGGCCACCCTGCCACTCGGGGCCTTAAAACAACAATCTTTGGGACAGAGGTTCGCTTGTCATTCTGTGGTGGGCAGTTTAAGCTGAACCCAGCCAGGCTGCCTCATCTGTCGCCACACAGTATCATTTGCCTGGTGTTCCCACATACCAGCCAGGGTGACTGGGAGAACTGGGGGGAACAGCTGGGATAATGGGCAGCCAAGTCTTTTCATATGGCAAATCCTGCAACAAGCAAGTTCAGCCTTGTTCACGGGTTCTTAGAGAGAGGGAAGAAAGATCATGTCCTAACGTGTGAGCTTTTTCACGGCCCCCCTTCCATTTGTTCATCTTATAATTCTCTAGCATCCCACTGGGCAAGGTCGGAGGGCCAGGAACCAGGTACAGGTGGTGGAGAACTCCACTTTCTTCTGTGGGAGGCTACTATACAGAATTTGTATAATTCGTGGACTATAATTTCCTAAGGGCAAGATTACACATTCATTAAAATAACAACAGCAACTGTGTATTACTGCCTCTGACTCCATGAAGCTCTTGATTTTGCCGTACTTTCATCCTAAGGAAACAAAAAACATTAAATTCAGATTATCTTCCCCTCCCTCCTCCCCCTGCTCAGGTGGGAGTAAGAAATATATTCATTCAGAGCTAAGAGTGAAACCATAGCACAAAACTTTTGGGAAGGATAGAGCACTTTATTGGCACCCTGGATATGCTGTTTTCTCATTGTTCTGGGGAACAAACCCACAGTGTTTAATGTGGTCAGCAAGAGAATCTACCACGGAGCTACAGCCCTCCCCTGTTTCTGGATGTGTTGTTTCCATGGCATTATACCCTTCACAGGTGATGGGAGTGTGTTTGCCATTTCCCCTGTCCTCCACCTGTCCAGTTCCTACAAGGTTTGAACTTGAGCTAATGGAAGAGACCCAACTGAAATCTGGTAGCATCTCTGAGCCTCCGTGTCCCCAGCCTCTGCCACAGGCTTCCCATGGGCACACACCTTTATGGGTTGGTTCTAGGACTCATCGTGGATCTGTGTCTTCTTTATGATTTTTTAAAAAGGAGATGAAGGCTCCACATGGAGAACATAGAGGGAAGGAAATTATATGCATAGAAATAACTATTGTCACTGGGTGGTGGTGGCACATGCTTTTAATCCTAGCACTCGGAGGTAGAGGCAGGTGGGTCTCTGTGAGTTCAAAGTCAGCCTGGTCTACTGAGTGAATTTCAGGACAGCCAGGGCTACACAGAGAAATCCTGTCTTGAAAGAGAGAGAGAGACAGAGAGAGAGAGAGAGAGAAGAAATAACTATTGCCACAGAGAAGAAATATACTGCATATACCTTTCCTTTCCTTATGTGTATATATATATGTGTGTATATATATGTATGTATGTATATATATATATATATATTGCTTTTAAGAAGCCACAAAAATTAAGTCAGACATTTTTACCCAGTGTGAAAATGCCCCTGGGACAAACAAGATCCACATAGAGGAGCAGACCTTAAAAAAGTGGGGCTAAGCCTTAGAGGGGCTGTTTTGCAGGAACTCCTGCCCTGCCTGCTAAGAATGTGCAGGTTGATGTATTCATGCTCACCTTGTCTTTGTTCTCCAAGTACCCACAGCTGTTTACAGGCATCCTCTCCCCTTGGAAAGGTCTGCTGCTTTACGGCCCTCCAGGTAAGCACATCTTTTGGGAGCAGAGGATGTCTGCGGGAGCCTGGCTGCTGCCCGGCGGTGAGGCAAGGAGCAGTAGCACCTGCTCATGGTCATCCTCGTGTGTCCCTAGGTACAGGAAAGACGCTGCTGGCCAAAGCCGTGGCCACCGAGTGCAAAACGACTTTCTTTAACATTTCTGCCTCCACCATTGTCAGCAAGTGGAGAGGAGATTCAGAAAAACTTGTCCGGGTAGGAATTCTTAAGATGTTTAAAAATCAGTTTTCTAGAATACCAAAGTACAAAATAATGCTAGAGCGTGTTGGTTTTAAGGTGGTATATATGTATAATTATGCTAGAGCTTGTTGGTTTTAAGGTGGTATATATGTATAATTATGCTAGAGCGTGTTGGTTTTAAGGTGGTATATATGTATAATTATGCTAGAGCGTGTTGGTTTTAAGGTGGTATATATGTATAATTATGCTAGAGCGTGTTGGTTTTAAGGTGGTATGTATGTTAGCCTCGGCTTGGATTGTGACTCTGTGACTCCCCAAAGCCCAGGAAGTGGATTGACTGTCACATGTGGGTATTAATCATAGTGCCACCAGCAAAACATGGACTCCCTTCTTCTGGAATTTTATCAACAGCTATTTTTTGATTCACACAATTTAGGACTAAAAGTGAGAACAAAAGTCTCTAAAGTGGCCTAGTGTTTGCTTCACTCAAGAACCATTCATTATTAAGCATGTACAGTTTATCCAGTTAACACTTAGTGTGAGGCCTCTGCCGTGTGCCAGACCCTACACTAAGCACTCTGTGGAGGAATCGAAAGACATAAACCTTAATTATTCTTTCAGATGTTCTGAGCAACTTTTCTTCCTCTTCTCATGGCCTGCATAGTGTGTTCTCTCCTTGGAAGGCTGTTTCCATCTTTACAATATCTCGTTCCTGGTCCATGGCATCTCTTGCACTCAAACATTTTGCTGTATCTTCCTGTCACCCTAAGAGAACAGCTGCTGTGATGTATACCTCGCCATAAAGGGGGTTCCTTGCCAAGAATCCTGTTAGACTGTTTGCCTCCTGTAGAAGGACTGATAAATAATCAATACTAAGTGAATGTAAAATTACTTTCTGAAAAGAAATCATCCTAAAATATTACTCTGGAGTTCTGGTCCCTCATAAAGCTAATTTCCAAATGATCATAGACTGCTTAGAAGACATAATAAGATATTTTAGAAGGGTTGGTGAAAAAATAAGACCATACCTATTATTTATTACTTTGATCATTTATTCGTTCATTCATTCATTCATTCATTTCTAAGGATTAAATGCAGGCATTTGCATGTCACGCAATTACTATAATACCAAATTAGCCTTTAGCCCCTTGGTATTGTTTTCATGTTGTTTCAAATGTTTAAGTTTTTATGGATTTTTATCACTCACTCAGCATTGTATTTCTTTTCTGTTGCTCTGTTTATTTTAGTGGTACTGTTTTGAGACAAGGCCTTTTTCTAGATGTAGCTCAGACTGGTCTTGAACTCATGATCTGTCTTTTGGGATCACCTTATTGTCCTAGGTGCTAGAGTTATAGATTGTGTACCACAGTGCCTGGATCAAGATGAAATCTATGAAAATATTTATCTACACTTTCTCCTTTGGTCTTTATCCTGGGACTGTCTCAGACCAGATCCCCAGGTACTCCTGTTTATCTGCTGTGTGTGGATCCCTAGGGTTCTGGTCAGTTCTGTTTCAAAGGGCTGAGGTTCAATTAACTACAGTCATTATCAGCCTAAAGCTCTTTGGGATGTGTGTGTGTGTTTAACTTCTGTGTGTTGAGTAACAATAAAACAACTCACAAAAGACGCCCTCCCCTGAAGAGTAGAGATTTGTGTCCCGTCACAAAAAGTGTTTGGAACCATGAGCACAAGACACTGCAAAGCGTTTCAAGAAAGTTCCCAGACTCCCTGGACAAGCCCTAGGTGGACAGACATGTACTTTTAGGCACGTCATGATTATCCTAACAGAGATGGAGAGAAAATGGTTTCTTGTTTAGTGTTGAATGTCTAGAAATGCCAATCACACGAATGTTCCTTCTTTGTGAGTATTTTTTTTAGCTCAGTTTTTTTTGTTTTCTGCTTTAGTATCATTCCAGGAGTGAGGCAATCCTTCCTGTCCCAGGTCTCCATCTCCTTCACCACATATTTAAAAGAATCCAGCTTTATGGAAAATGTACGAAAGCCACGAAAGCGTACATTTCCTTGATTTGGGATCTATGAACTCATATTCTCAAGGTCACACAGCAGGCCCTTACTGAATGAGCCACCCCCAGGTCCCTAATTTGAGCATTTTACAAGTTACTTTAGAAGATACTTATATTTCTTTTTTCTTATGAAAAATGCATTTTTCACTTAAATATTTGAAAAATATTCAAGAAGAAACTGGAAACCTCTGCCAACCTTGAAGGGTCTTATTTCCTTGTAGAAGTTATTTTTTCCTGTTCTGTGAGATTTTGGGAAGATCCTCACCTGGGGAGGTTTAGTCATTCTGTCCACCCCTTCCTGTAAAGGTTTTTAGGGAAAGCAAACCCTTTAGGACCTTCCCCTCAATCAGAAAAGAGTTTTCTCCCATTTGTTTCTCTTTCTATTCCAATTAAGGAGTTATTTATAGGGAACCTTTGGGCTGTGAACCCCCCTCCTCTCCTAATGCTCCTGCCTCTTAGGAGTTGAGCACTATTGAATAGCTGAGTGATCTCTTTAGCAAATGCATACACCTGTTGATGGTTACATCTCCCTCCCCCTCACATGATTTAACTTCCTCCAAGCACCTCTGGATATTTTAGACTAATGCTTCTAGAAGCACTTACCAGGATTCTATTTATTCTCTGGGAATGGAAACTCAGTAATTTGAGCAATATGGAGACCTAAGCCCTAAACGCAGTTAGTTCTTCTAACTTTATGTTGAAGAGGCCCTTGGTTTCCTACACCTGAGTAAGCTCCTTAAAACTGTGTGTAGGTCTGATATAGGGGTCTAATATCCTCTTTTTCATTGAGTCGATTGGTGTTTTGTAATCGCTTTTAAAATCAGGTATAATTGGGCTTCTCTTCCTGTGACAGGAAGAAAAGTTACTTGTTCCTAATTGGCTGGTCTCCAGTGTATGGGAGAGGTGTTAGCGATACGTTTCCCAGAACTGCCTTTTGTTTCATGACTTTTGCTGTGTGAGTGTGTGTGTGTGTGTGTGTGTGTGTGTGTGTGTATGAACCAATGTGTATTCACCCAGCTAAATACCAAATAAACAGTTCTACCCAAGTGTCAACCAATGAGTTTTGGGACACAGATGACTGACATAGAAGTAAAGACATCTGAATCACCAAAAAGCCCACCTAGCTTGGGTGATGATTCATGGAGGATGCATACTTGGTGCTCCCTAGACAACGTGCAGGGAGTTCCACCAATCACAGAATCTCCTCTCTGTACCAGCTGTTCAAGATTCTACAACCATGGAGATCAGTCTTGTAAGTCTTGTATTTCAAGCCTTGTAAATTCCCTTGACTCCCTAATCCTTGTAAATTGCTTTTACTACCCTAGCCTGTAAATTCCCTTTATTCCCTGAGCCTTTTAAATTTTTGTTATTCCTTGAGTCTTGTAAGTTCCCTTTACTTTCTGAGCCTTGTAAGTTTCCTTTATTTCCTGAGCCTTATAAGTTCCCTTTACTTTCTGAGCCTGTAAGTTCCCTTTCCTTCCTGAGCCTGTAAATTCCCTTTTATATTCCCTTTATTTCTTGAGTCTCCTTAGCTTCCGTCCTTTGTCTAGGAGGGGATATTTCCATTAAAGGAAACAGCCACACACAGTCCTTCTCTTAGTTTTGAGAAGGAGCAGGGGTTATGAACCAGGATTCTGTGACAGGGAAATGCTGACTCATCACTGAGTCTCGAGATGTGAGAGATTTCCTCAGAGGGAAATCCTGCCGCTCCTGAAAGCCACATGGGAGCATTCCCCTCTTGTTTATCCTGAGATGCTTTCCTTATGCTCAGTGACATGGAGAATAAATCCCCATGGCAGCTGAAGAATCTCTGCTTTTCTGTTCATCGCTGCTGCATTCTCCAGTCAGCCAGTGAAGAATTGAACGTGGCGCTCGAGAGATCGGCTGCAGGATTTAAAAAAAATAAAAGATTTAGCTCTTTATACTGCTCACCGCCACTATATCTCCCTATCGAGTTATTTTGTTTTTATGTCTGTTCTTTTGCTGGCTGCTTTCTTGTTCTTGTTCAGTCTGTCATATTTTACTCTGGAACAGAACATCTTATTCCGTCGAGAACTGCCTTTGGGAATCTGCTCCTCTTGTATTCAAGAGGCAGGGCAGGAGGATCCCCTGAGTTCACCAGCCAGTCTGAGCTATACTGTGAGTTCCAGTCTAGCTGAAGCTGTTTCAAGACATCAAAACCCAGCAACAATAACAAACAAAAGGGAAAAGACGTACAAAGAACCTGATCCTAGCAAGCAGTGTTGAGGTGGAGTGGGGCCCTGTGGAATCACGTGGGGAGCAGAAAAGGACATTTTCAGTTTGTTATCCATATGTGTCCTTTTCCTGACTTTCTTCCTTCTGAGAATAATCCTATTTTTCCTAAAGATGAAGGGGGGAAAGTTACTACATGATTTTATGTATTTTATGTTTATGTCCACATGGAGAATGTTATTGGCAGATGTCCCAAGGGTTAACAAGGCAAATAGGAGCTTGGGAACTGAATTTTATCTCCAGCTTTCATACTTATCATTCAGAACCTTGAACTTGCCACCTACTCTCTATCAACTGATGAATGGAAATAACTGGACCATCCATCCCCCTAAGGTGGAACTCGGGAGAAACAACGGTGATGGTTATAAAGTTGTCCCAGAGTACTGGTATAGAGCAAATGCTTATTATTACAGCAGTTCTAAACTTTTAATCTGGGAACATTTGAGGGCTAAAGTTGACATGTATGACGAAGACTAACTTAAGAATACATATTTGACCCTGCTCTTGCTTTTCCCCACTCAGGTGCTGTTTGAACTTGCCCGCTATCATGCCCCCTCCACGATCTTCCTGGACGAGCTGGAGTCTGTGATAAGTCAGAGAGGCATGACTCCTGGGTAACAGATGGTTTGGGTTTGGGTTTTTTTGGCCATCGTTTCTCCCCTTTGTAAGTGTGTGTGATGGTCGGAAGCCCATCGATGTTTACCAGCAGAATGAGCCTATCAATAAGCCCACAAATTTTCTGCAGACACATGGAAAGGTCTTTGAATTAGATCCTGTTAACTGAGTAGCTGATTTAAATAGATTTTATAACCGGAGGAAACACCATCCCCCTCTTCCCCACAGAGTGGCTTTCAGGCCTGAAGATCATCCAGCCGCAGGATCCCAGGCTGCCACGATGGCCTGGCTGCCTCAAAATAACCTCCTCTGGAGCCGGAGGGCTGCCTGTGGGGACTGGGGCTGGAGGGCTGCCTGTGGGACTGGGGCTGGCCCATGCAGCCGCAGGATCAGCCGCTTCTGTCGTACATTCTCTGGAGGCAGAGGAACCGGTGATTCTTGGACATCTGTCACATGCATTATTTCTAAAGATTAAGTGTCCGAAAATGTCCCCAGAAGGAAGGAGCGCCTCTCGGTTACAAATGCTTTCTGGTTATGCATTCAAAAGGGCAAATAGGGCTGCTTGTTTGCCTGCTTGATTTTGTGCGTGTGTGTGACATATGTTGCGTGTGTGTGTGTACATGTTTGTGCTGGTGCTTGTAATGTGTGTGTGTGTGTGTGTGTGTGCGGTGCGCGTGCATGTAGGTCAGAAGTCTCTTTCTACATTGTTTTTGTTTGTTTGTGATTTTGAGAGAGAATGTGCCCCTGTGTCTGCCCTTTCATGTGGAAGCTGGGAATCAAAGCTTAGGTCCTCAGGGTTGACATTTACCAACTTACCTATCACCTCAGTCCCCATTGTTAAGTTTTAAAAATTTATTTTAAAATATTTCATTAATTGAGAATTTTATACAGTTTATTTTGCACACATTTGCTCTCAGTTACTCTCTTTAATTTCCCCAGATCCTTACCACCTTTTTTTTTTTTTTTTTTTCCTGTGTCAGGGTTTCTCTGTGTAGCCCTAGATGTCCTGGAACTTGCTTTGTAGACCAGATTGGCCATTAGCCTCAAGCTCAGAGATCCACTTACCTCTGCCTCCCGAGTGCTGGGATTAAAGGTGTGTGCCACCAGTGCCTGGCTCGTGTCTTTATTTTTTGAAAATTATTTATTTAAAAATTCATTGACTCTGACTTGTGCTGACTATATACTTCTGGGTGTAGGGTCATCCGTTGGAGCATGGTCCACTTACTAGGAGCCACGCCCTTAAAGAAAACTGACTTTCCCTCCCCTAGAAGCCATGGACGGTCCATAGCTCCTCAGTTAGGAATGCGGGCTCCATGCTAGAACACTGATGTGCTGGCCCTGGTACAGGTCTGGTGAGGCACTCAGAGCTACTGAGGTCTTGAGTGTAGCGGTCCTGTCATGCTCAGGAGATGCTGTTGATTCTGGTTCTCCCTGACCCCTTCCTACCCCAGCTTCTGAAATGGTCCCAGAGCTTCAGGAGAGGAAGGCTGTGACAGATCTGTCCCATTAGTGGCCGAGCACGCCACAGCCACCTACTCTCTTCACTTTGACCCGTCTGAGTTTCTGCATTAACCACTGTCTATCGCCCAAAGAAACTTCTCTGAAAGAATATGAGAGCTCCACTAACCTATGGGCAGAGAGTTAGGAATTTAGAGTACAATTTTATACTATGTCCAGTTAGCGAAATCATAGTAGTAGGTTGATCCCTGAGGTCTATGAACTCCCCAACCTTGGGTTATTGGCTGGATTTGTAGTACCAGGCATGCACTTTCTCCAGTGAATCAGAAAGCAGTTGGTTACCTTCATAACATTCATGTGACTATTGCCATATCCATCATCACTGCAATTTACAGGGGTTGGAGCTGGATAAGACTGTTGGCTCCCAAGCCAGGAATAGTGGTGCACACCTTTAATCCCAGCACTCAGGAGGCGGAGGCAGGCGGATCTCTGTGAGTTAGAGGCCAGCCTGATCAATATAATCAATTCCACATCAGCTAGAGGTACAAAGACCCTGTCTCGGAAAGACAATAACAACAAAAGACTGTTGACTCTCCTCCCCTAGCATCCTGCATAGCACCCTCTGGTGAGTTACCCAGTAGGGAGGAAGCTTCCTGGTCAATACCAACATGATTTCTCAATGTGTGTGCTGTCTTCAGCAACAGGGTCTTGCAATCAACTTCTGATGGGCGCTTAAGAGCAGTATCAGTAGCCCTTGTTTTGGGTTCTCTAGGACACCCCTGACCAATGATAGAGGAGAGGAAAGTCTGGGGCTTTTTATTTGACAACCTACAGATGGGTTCTGAGATGAGTTTAATTCCCTGTGAGGGGCAACTCCAATTAAACTCTTGTATGAATTTGTGTGTGTGTTTGTACACATATATATGTACACACATACATGTGTATAGACACATATGTTGTGTATATTTTGATCACATCCTGACAATAAAGTTTTATTTGAGTCAGAGAGGGGAGCTAGCCATTAACTGACCATTTAACCGTAGAGGACTGATAGGAAACAGGAAGTAGTAAGGCGGGGCTTAGGATCCTTAGGATGGAGGAACAGAAGAGATAGGAGATCTCAGGTGGCGTCTCCTCTACTTCTTTGTTTATTCAGGCTCCTACTCTTACTGATAGCAGATATCTTACTGATATCTGACTCCCAATTTTTATTGATAAAGAATAATTAATTAAATGCATCACACATATATATGAAGCATAAAATAGTAAGTTCCCATATAGCTTTCCCAAACATCCTTAGAGTTCCCATGTATCGTAGACTGGCGTTGAACTTGCTGTATAGTTTAGGATGATCCTGAACTTTGATTCTCCTGCATCCGCCTCCCAAGTGTGGGATTACATGTGGGAGTGCCCGTGCTGGGGATTGAACCCACGGCTTTGTGGTTGCTAGGAAAGCACTCTATCAACCTGATTGATTTGTTATGATCAGAGATACTTTTTGAAACTTTTATGAAATTTGGCACCTCAATCTGGAAATATAAAAAAACAGGTGTCTGGAAAATTTCTGTGTAGCTCTATTTACTAGTGACCTTTAATAGTCTGTTATTGAGACAAAGCCCAGGCTAATAAAAGGCAAAGAATTTGCTTGTTGGAAATATAAAAGTAAAATTAGAAAACAATTTGTGAAATTTTACCCAGTGGAAACCACTTTCCCAGGAGGAAAACAGAAGAACGAGGCTGCAGGCAGGATGGGTGGACTTTATGTCTGACTGACATGGGACATGGACCTGACCTTACTGTGCCTTGTCAGACCCCACTGCAGCCCTCTGCCTTGCTCCATCAGCCTGACAGGAACAGCCAGTTGCACCCGAGCCACAGGCCCCTGTGTGCTCTCACTGGTCTCCCCCTGCAAAGACAGGCCTCTCTGGCCTGCCTCAGGGGTGGCCTAGATTTGGCTAATTTGGTTCTTCCTACCATCCCTGGTGGCAAGTGCTTCACCCAGGTTCTCCTTGAGTTTCAGGGTCCCCATATGGGACTTGAAGATCCCAGTTTAAAACACAAGGACAACGAAGCTGAGCATGATAGCGCACACCTTAATCCAGTTCTCAAGGAGCAGAGGCAGAGGCAGGCAAATCTTTGTGGATTGGAGGTCAGCCTGGTAGTGGGTTCCAGGCTAGCCAAGGCTATATAGTGAGACCCTATCTGAAAAAACAAAAACAGACTAAAAAATTAGGGCAACTGCTTTTAATGTCTTTTTGGGCCATATCATGCTAGTTGTGCATAAGTATGGACAATTATATTAACATTAGCACATGCACACATATCATGCGTAATTGTGGGCAAAGGCTATGTGAACATGTCATTGTAGAGTGGGAGTCTTTTCTCTCAGAAAATGTCTGGGCCTTGAGAGGTACAGATTCTAAGTCACATGCAGGTGGAGCACCCCAGTGTGAAAATCCAGCACTTGAACAGACCTGTTCTGAATCTTTGTTAGTGCTGGCAGACAATTAAAGTAGGAAATCCCACCCAGGAAAGTTTGTTTAATATGTGAAAGTATAAAATATCATATAAATTACCTTCAGGCTGTGTGAGAAGGTACAGATGAAATATAAGTTAATTTCATGCTTAAAGTTGGTTCCCCCCCACCCAGTATGACTCTTTATATATGTGCAAACATTCCAAAATTCAGAAAAATCTGAGTCAACTGGGATAAAGAATACTCAGTCTGTACTCAGGATGGGTTGCTTCCACACATGTGCACGAGAGGTGGAGTGTTGTGCACACTAAGGAAGACATTTAGTCATTGCTCTTTTAATTAAAACAGTGTGAATGAACAGAATCTGTCAAGCACGCTCTGGGTGTGAACCTAATGCGGGTTGGTTTGATCTTGGTGCCTTGCTCCTTCTGGAGGAAGGGACCCGGATGATCGCCATGGAGGCAGAGAGGGCAAATCTGCACAGAGACCAGACGCTAATCTCTGTCATTATTATACATTTCATTAGGAGAGGATGAAGCCAACTCAGTGCAGGGATTTTATAAACACAAATGCACACATACACAGGAATAAGAAGCATGGACATTATGTGATGCCTGCTCTATAAATGGGTTATTCTACTATGTCATTTCAATTCAAGTCATTAAACTTGATTGTTTAAGCCCAAGCTGGCCGAAGCTATGGAACCTGGGCTAGATGCAAACTCACAGCAGTTTTCCTGCCTCAGCCTTACCAGTTTCAGGCCATGCCACACCTGGCAATTATGGCATTTTAAAGGGTTAAATAACGGAGCAGGTAGACACAGCTGGGTTATGTTTAATTTCACCATCCTTCTATTATTTTCTTTTAGTTCTATGTCAACCTTCACTTTTCTCCTAAATATCATCATTGTATGTATTATTTGCCTTTTTATTACTTTTTTATGTGAAAATAAAGCACCTGAAATGCCCATTTATTTGCTATCAGAATGGAGCCTGTTTTTCAGCCACAGGGCATTGCTGTGAGTGCCACTCACGTCAGGAGGGCAAAGGCTCTGCCAGTGAGGTCCTCCTATCTCCTTGTCTCTGCAGGGGAGAACACGAAGGGAGCCTCCGAATGAAGACGGAGCTCCTGGTGCAGATGGACGGGTTGGCCCGCTCGGAGGATCTCGTGTTTGTCTTAGCAGCATCTAACCTGCCGTGGTAAGGCATCAAGAGAACACGTCACACACATCGCACACATTTTCATGATCTACTGAACACTGATAAAAATTTCAGTGAGAGCTAGAGGAGGAGGCACTGAAGCCACACACGATGTGGGTGACAAGGAGTCGGTCTCCGTGGCTATAAAGACCAGTGTGAAAGTGGGCAGCACTGGTCCCAGGGTCTGGGCCCTAAGCTGATTAGGAGTAGAGTCGAGCTCATCAAGAGGCATGGCATGCATTCATCCCCCTCTGCTACCGGCCATGGCTCCTGCCTCCCGACTGCCCTGCAGTGACAGATGATAGCCTGGAGTTGTGAGCTAGACAAGCCCTTTCTCCCTGAAGTAGCCTTTGTCAGTTTTTTATATCATTATTAAAGTAGCAGAAATTAGGATATAGGAGGGACTATAGGTTTTTTTGAATCAGGCAGAGGTTTTGCATAGCCCTATAAATGCTTAATATCGCTAGTTCTCAAAGAACATTTCAGAAATAATGGTTTGATTTTTATTGGTATTAAAATTAAAGTTTTTTAAGTTAGGAGGAAAATTCTATCTCTAATGCCATATAGTAAATAGAAAACTAAATAATCTCTAATTGAAAATATAATCTACTCTCAGAGTTTCCTATTCAAACTGTATCCCAGAGTGGTTTAAGAACAATTCTAGAAGAATTGGGAAATAAGAGATGTTGATTAGGGGAAAACAATATCTACTCAGAGAATATATTTTAAAAATGTTATAATGCTCTTACAGTTCTCAGAACATTTTCATATTATTATTTTTTATGTCCTGGATAGGGAAGGAGATGCACAAGAAAATATTCTTAGAGGGTGACCAAGGTCATGAAAGGCAAATCAGCCTGTGACCAACAGCAGTGAACAGGGCTCTCTCACCCCACCCCACACAGCAGCAAGCAGAGGGGGGCTCTCTCACCCCACCCATCTCCTTTTTCATATTTAGGGACAAACAGAAAGCTCCTTCAATCATGCTAATCCTCTGGGTCCCAAACAAGAAGGGACGGAGACCAATTTTAGGCAAGCCGTGTGTAAGCTGTTCCTTTAGATACGTTTGCAGTCTGAACCTGGCCCACCTCCCTGCACATCTGTAATACGTGTTCTCTTGTGCTCAGATGACTAGCATTTAACATCTGAAGATCTGTTTATGCACAACACTAAAAGTGGACCCCAATAGAGAATTGAGATCTCAGTATTTGAATCTTTGGAAGTCATTGGTTGGTGCGAAGCTTCCACATGCGGTTGCAATGGCTAAAGTCACGATGTTAAAGTTACCCAGGTTAAAATTCCTTTCAGCCAAAATGGGACAGTTGTTACTTAACCTTCTAAGAAATCAAGAGAGATAACAGGACAGATTCCTAAACAGGCCAGTTTCACATAAATGCTTCAAGGCTCTGGGTTGTACCCTCTGCCTTGCCACAGCCAGACACAGCAACCCAGTAACTGGGCGTTGGCCAGGCAATTATTATTATTTTTTCTGTTGTTTTGTGTCCTTGTCCCCTACTTTCCAAGGATTGCTACTTTCAAATGGATCCAAACTGTTTTTGCTTTTGTGCCTTTGTTCTGGCGGCTCTGGGTGATTTCTAGGGAGGGTGTGAGGCTGCATGGCTCCTAATACAAGTGTGTCAGGTCTGTGCCTCGAGAGACTTACACACACATTCTCCAGAAATATGGAGAGCTCTCCCCTTCACGTGAACTCAGTAGCCTCTGCAGTGTTCTGTGCGATTGATTGGCTGGGGTCAGCTGTTGTCTTCGTGCTTCTCCCTGCTCTAAGTACTCTAGGCTAAAAATGGGGCTGATTCGGTTCAGTTTTCTTCAAATGTTACCTCAGTATCGACAGCATCACTCTGCATTGCATCCCGAGGTGAGCATTGTCTTGTTTTCTCGCTTTTGGCAATGCCATGATTGATCTGTGGGTTCAGGCGTATTGCTCTGGTTCCTCTGTGGAACATCTCTCTGAGTTTAGCATCCCCCATCAGGGTTGCCTTCGTGGTTGAGTATTTGCTGCTCTTACAGAGGACCCAGGTTCTATTCCCAGCACCCATGTGGTGGCTCACAACCATCTGTGCTCTGGTCCTCGGGGATCCAGCATCCTCTTCTGACTTTCTCCCATACCAGACACACATGTGGTTCATAAACATACATGTAGCCAAAACACTCATACACATAAAAATATGTTAAAATGGTATTAATGAACCTTCAAAGCTATTCTTTGTATTTTGATTAAAACTCTCTGACCTATAACCTTAAACTGAGCATGCTCAGAAATGTGGACCTTAGCGAGTATACTCAGAAATGTGCCTTCCCCTAAGTATGCTTTCCTCCTTGCATGTATGGGTGGCCTGGATAAAACTTTCATGTTCTGCTCAGGAAGAACAACGCTTTGGAGAAACCCTGGTGCACTCTTGCTCTTCCTCCCCTGCAATACCAGCTCTGTCTTCTGTTGGCTTTGACCCATTGCTGGAGGTGACGGTTTTATCATTGCTTCTGGTCGACAGCCAGAATCACTCTCTGTAAGGGAGCTGTCCCTCACCCCATGGGGCTGCTTGGTTACCCCAAAATGTTGACAAACAGGTGTCACCACTAGCAATGAGCAAGCCCCCTCCCCCACTTCTCCAAACTGTGTTTTGTGAGTGATTGCCTTTCTGGCTTTTGTTTTGGTATGATCTTATTTTACAGCCCAGGCTGACCTTGATTTCCAGGTCTTCCTGCCTCTGCCTCCTGGCTGCTGTGATTGCAGGAATGCTGTGTTGCCTCTGGTGAGTTCTGTGAGTTCTGAAAAACACTTTCTTGAGCACATGCTGCACAGCTCATGGCCAGGGCTTCTAAGTGGTCATGCCATACCATTGTGCTGTTATGTTTTCATTGTATTATTATTATTGTTATTACTATTTGTATCATGTAGAAGAGATGAAAGCCAGGTCTTTGTATGCCTATGTTCTGAAAAAAAAAAGCATATCTGTTATTATAGGGTGTAGCAGAGTTCTCTAGAGGAAAAGAACCAATAAAATGTCTGTGTATCACAAAACAGGATTTGTCCTGGGCCCAGTTGGACACACCTATAATCCCTCCTGAAGCAGAAGCAGGGGGATCTTCGTGAACTCCAGTCAGCCTGCTCTGCATCCTGAGTCCCAGGACAGCCAGGGTTCCATAGTGAGACCCTCTCTCGAAAACAAACAGGAAAAGAAACCAAAGGGATGTGTTTACCAGAGTGGCTTCCAACTGATAACGGCTGGACAGTCCAACCCTGTGACTGGCACTCCATATTTTACAGGAGCAGTCTCACAATCTTGCATTTATCTCTTACACAAAAGACTGCACACCATAGAAATTGTTCTGTATGAGTTTTTTTTTCTTAACAAAATACCAGAATTTCCTGGAGATCTTTCCAAATAAGGCCACAAATTCTCCCTTACTCCCTTTATAGCTACATAGTCCTCCATTGTGAATCTCTGAAAGTTTATCTAACCTGTCATCAGCATGGCAGCAGGGTTGTTCCTCTCCTGCTATTGCAGACAGTAAGGCAGTAAGGAGTGGGCATGGATAGGCCACTTTTTGTTCCAACCAGTGTAGCTTTGGGATAGGTTCCTGGAAGGAAAACCACCAGGTCAAAGGGTAATGCGCATGGAATTATGGTGCAGCTGCCAAATTTCCCTCCATAGAGGTTGTGCCATCGTGCGGTCCCACCAGTGTCTTGGTTTCATTACTTAACATTATAGTGAGAACATTTCCATTGTCATTAAATAATCCTTGAAAATTGGATTTCGTAATAGCTGCCCAGAATTCCCACACGTGGGCTATACCATCATTTAATCATTCCTTTCTGTCCAACATGTATGACGTTCCCAAACTTTATTCATAAGTGGCAGGGAAATGAGCTTCCTTGCACAGAAGCCTTTGTGAGCAGGAGGGAGCAGGGAGAGAGCTCAGTCAGGAGAGCACTCATAATCCCAGCCGGGAGGTGGAGACAGGTGGATCCCTGGGGCTTACTTTCCAGCCAACCAAGACTACTTAATGAGCTCCAGGTCAATGAGAGACTCCCTCAAAATGGGGCGGGGGTTGCGCCTGAAGAATGACACCCCATAATTGTCCTCTTGCCTCCACACATTACATGCACCCCCAGCACACATGAATGTACACACATAAACCAGTGCACACATGCACAAAACAGCACCTTTGGGTACAGTTCTGATTGTTATGAAAGATATCTGGAGTGGAATTACTGGATGAAAGGGCTTTGTATTTTAACTCCTTTGTGGCATACTGCCAATCCCTTTAATAAGGAAAATTTCTAGGAAGAGGGAATATTCTTGATGAATAAGATTTTCCTTGGCTTCAGGATCTCATTTCAACCAAGCAGTCTAGCCTGGGAAAAACCTATTCAGAACAACCACGTGAAGACTCGGTCCTGAACATCAAATTCCTCACAGTTGGGGCGGCTTTCACCAATAGCATAATTCTGGCATCGGCAATTCTTTTATTTTTATTTTTATTTTTAATATTTATTTATTTATTATTTATACAGTTAGCCAGAAGAGGGTACCAGACCTCATTACAGATGGTTGTGGGCCACCATGTGGTTGCTGGGAATTGAACTCAAGACCTTTGGAAGAGCAGGCAATGCTCTTAACCGCTGAGCCATCTCTCCAGCCCCCTCGGCAATTCTTTATTGCTGTCTCAGCAGTGAGCTGGCTTACAGCTTTTGCTCACCTGCTTTGGCTGGTCTAGAGCATGAGAGAGGGCCAGAAGGAAGCAGCAAGGAACCAATTCTCTGTGTCGTCCGATGTGTAAGTGAGCAAAGATAGGCATAAAAAATGTTGTACATTTAATATTACCACTTAATGTAATAGCGATGCTAAGAAACTTAGCATAATTAGGGCTAATTTGACCTGCCTTGATTGTTGCGTATTCACAGGCTCAGGCCTAGCGGTCCAGAGGGAATGAATGCTGAACAAGGGCTATTATGGCAAATTCCACCTAGAGATGTCTACTTAACTCTATGGTAGCTTGTACAAACAAGGTGTGGGGGTGCTGTGAGTGGTATGCGGACTCTACTGTCTCCCTTGCTGCTTGCTGGTGTCAGGAAGCTGATTCAGGTGCTAACTGTGTCAAAGTATAGCACACACAGTACAGGGCATACACAAGTGTTACAGATTTACATGTTTTCTGTTACATGTAATTTTATTAGTGGTTTATTCATTAATGGTAATTTATTAATGGTTATTTTGTAATTTTATTAATGACATAGATGCTATCTATCTATGGGAGTCATGCATTGGAACCCTATAGAGAAAATTTGACTGGAGTTTTGAGCCACTCTGCCTTAATCTATCTATCTATCTATCTATCTATCTATCTATCTATCTATCTTTCTTTCTTTCTTTCTTTCTTTCTTTCTTTCTTTCTTTCTTTCTTTTCCTTTTCGTTTTCGTTTGTTTTTCGAGACAGGGTTTCTCTATAGCTTTGGAGCCTGTCCTGAAACTAGCTCTTATAGACCAGGTTGGCCTCAAGCTCACAGAGATCCGGCTGCCTCTGTCTCCTGAGTGCTGGGATTAAAGGCCTGTGCCACCACCATTCAGCTTCTGACTTAATTTTTCTTCTCAGTTTAAGATGTCTGGGACGATGACAATGAGGCCAATAGTTTTGAACTATCCATGAAGACTTTCTCTCCGCGGAGTGCAAGGCAGAGATGCATTTAGCTGATGGGCATGTGCCCTTCAACCATATAGGGCATTTGCTTTATGTTGTGAGCCTTGGCTCTACCTCTGAGGAACCCAGGCTTTCTTGGTTGCCCCACATGAAGCCTTTACAACCTAATCCTTTTGCAACCAAGAGGCAAATAGCCCAAGTTCCCTATAATTTCAAATTTATCTATCCAGTCTTGACTTTGAGCCTCTTTAATTTTAGCATTTGGGAATTTTGCTTCTGCCTCCAGGAGGGTTCCACTGTGCATTCAAAAAGTACTTTTTATATCTACTTAAGACAAGATTTCTGATCTAGTTCATCTGTGGTCAGAGCCATCAGATCTTCCCCCTCAGTTACTGGTATTGTGTTTTGGGGTGAAGGTAACCAATGGGAAACGTGAGGTGATTTTTACCCCTATGAAGTGAAACTTCTAGCTCACGCATGCGTACAGCAAAGACTGCGCTGCTGCGGCTCCCTTGCTTCATTCTCTGGCCTCTCGGTTAGGAGAAGCCCGGATGTGCATCTTTCCGGTTCTCCTCAGAAGCACTGCTGTGGGAACCCGAAGGATTCGTCCTGAAACTTACAATTACCATGATCTTCCCTGAGAATGATAGTACAATGCTCGCCTGGCGATGGTGGCGCACGCCTTTAATCCCAGCACTCAGGAGGCAGAGGCAGGCAGATCTCTGTGAGTTCGAGGACAGACTGGTCTGTAAGAGCTAGTTCCAGGACTGCTAGGACTATTACACAGAGAAACCCTGTCTCAAACAAAACAAAACAAAACAAAAAACAACAAAAAAGGAAATACAGTGCTTTGTTCCCATTGCCCAAGCTGGTCCAGCTTCTCCCTATTAACCTAAACCAATGATGGCCATAATGTTCTAATATTCAACAAAGCACATGCCCTCTATAAATAGCTCAGGGAGTTTAAGAAAGTTGGCATTCACCCACCCACCTGAGTGGGATTTCTTGGGAACTTCTCAGTAATCTGCATGATGGAGGAAGCAGGAATCCAAGACATACTGTCTGTGACATTTGACCTCTGGAAGCTAGATGGGACAGTCTCTCACTTGTATACATATAGCCATGAGCTGGAGAGGCTGCCGGGACCATGTGAGCTGTGCAGACAGAAGAGCGGTCTTGCTATGAGTTCAGGCTGCCTTTGAACTTGCTCTGTGGATCAGGCTCTCTCCCACTCGTGCTCCTCCTCCTTCACCTCACAGGTGTTGAAATTACAGGCAGGTGTGCACCACCAAGCCTGGTGTATTTAGTAACTTTTATGGTAGACATTAAAGCAAATCAAAAGCCTTTGCTGCATACAGAGAACTTGCTCTGAATTTGAGGCAGTGACTTCCCTTGTGACAAAGTGGGAAGTTCCTATAAAGAAAATAATATGAAGATGCCAGCGGCACCCCAGTTACTGCCTTCCTCCCTTGTAGTGTACCCAGTAAACACACACACACACATGCACTCACTCACGCACACGCACATACGCACGCACGTCAGAACTAGAATGGAAAATGGATCTGTCTGGGGACACGTGTAAGCAGGTGGCCTTCCATGTGGGAATTACTGCAGAAGACAGAGCTTGAAGCTCTCGCTGCCCGAGAGCTGTCGATGCTGGCTCCTCAGCCTGCTCTCCCAGGCCTGTCATGACCGTCTACTTCATGGTGGTTATGGATGGACGGCAAAGATTTGCCTGCTGAGTGGACGTTCACTCTTCTGTTACTGTACCCAGACAACTTGAACTTGAAATACTGTAACTGTTGAAGAAACAAATTTGAATTGTGCTTGGTTCCCTCATGCTGTAAATTTCGGAATGATCTCAGTTCCAGGGCCATGCAGTACAGCAAGGACAAAGGTCAAGGCCTGAGGAGAATGCCTGAAGGTCTGATCTAAGGCATTGCGGCCCTTGGTAGCTCTCAGTGTGGCCAGCAGTATATGGCGTTTTGTGTTTACAGCAGGCAGGGTCCTATGCACCTCATGCTTACTGGTTGATCTGACCACTGATGAGCTAGAAGTACTGACTAACCAGGAGGAGGGAGTCACGAGAACACAAATAACTAGTGTAAAATCTAAGTGCAAGGGCCAGGCGGAGCCTTTTCTGGTGGCCACAAGTTACATTTTTATATAAATGTATTGGCATAAAGAATGATTTCTGGGCACATTCCATTTGTCCTTTGCTTCCTCCCTCATATGATTCTATGATTATTGATGTCGCTAAGAGTGCATCCATCAGGCCTGGCTGTCGGAGAGTTGCACTTATTTTGTACCCACAAGCAGTTTTGAGGTAAATCTCTCACTTTAGGGCATTAGTTGATCAATATAGACATCTATATTGAATAATTGCTTTCCCACCCCCACCATGTGATCCTGTTGTCTTGATTTTCCTCTAAAGGAGCCGCTCAGGATGAGCTGTGGACATGAATTAGGTACCGTCCAAACCAATACTTGCTTGATACTCTCAGATGTACCATTCTGTCAAATTCTTCTCCTTGCATGTATGTCTTCTAGAACCTTCGTGCCAGGTCCAAACTGGATTGCTTGTCCTGTGCACCTCGTATGCAGAGGGAACCCTGAGCTCTAACCTTGCCACCCTGGTGGTTCCCTTACCTTCTGTGTCAGGTCCTCTGGTGCTTGGATCCTGCCCAGCTTTGCTTTGTTTTGTCATTTAGACTTCACTTGTTGAAATTACCTAGAGTGCTTGATCAAGATATAGATTTTTTTTTATTAGAAATATTGTTTCCTCGGAATTTTAAAGGCCTTGGTCTCTTTTAACATCTCACATTGCTATGGATAAAGTTTGTTGTTGGTGTTTTTAATTAGACCTGATCTTGTTCTGCTGCCTAAGCTGGCCCAGAACTTGCTGTGTAGCCCAGGCTAATCTTGATCACTTGATTGTCTCCCTTCAGCTTCCCACATTCTGGAATCACAGCTACGCACTGCCGTGTGCGGCTTGAGAAGTGTTATGTCTAATCCATTGTATGTCACTTGTCTTTTCTCTCTGGAAACTTTTGCCACTCTGTTTTGTTCTTGGTCTTCTGAATTCTTACCATGAGGCAGCTTGGGAGTCAGTGGGTAGAGAACCGCGCCAGCCTCAGTTTTCCAAGTCATACCCCCCAAACAAACAAACAAACAAACACACACACAAACAAGTGTGGAGAAATGTATCTTCTGTCTGTGAGAAGCACTGTTTGCTGCTCCATCCATTTCCTGTCCTCTTGTGATACAGGGAGCTGGACTGTGCCATGTTACGGCGCCTGGAGAAGAGGATTCTGGTTGATCTCCCCAGCCAAGAGGCCAGACAGGCCATGATCTGCCACTGGCTGCCCCCCGTGAGCAAGAGCCATGCCCTAGAGCTGCGCACAGAGCTGGAGTACAGCGTGCTGAGTCAGGTGGGCAGCCTTAGAGGGAGCCTCCGAGCTGCCCAGGAGGGCAGAGGAGCCCTCCTCATGAAAGAATGGGCTGCAGGAGACTGGGCTACAGAAAGTAGGAGCTGTGGGGAGTGGCATGGGGTCCAGATTCAGAGAGCCTACGGTCAAATCCTGGCCCTGCAGCATATCAGCTGTGAGACCCTAGGGACCTCACGTACTCTCGGAACCCAGTTACTCCATTTCTATGACTCACAGTGGGTTATTGTGATCAATGAAATGAATCCTTTGCAAAGGAAACTCAAGGTAAGTATCTTGTTAATGCTCTCTGGGTATTGTATAAATCAGGGTTCTCGGGAGGAACAGAACTTATAAAATGAGTATATGTATATTCGATATATATGTGCGTGTCTATACACATATGAAGGGGATTCATTAGAATGGCTTACATCCTATGATCTAGCTACTTCAACAATGTCTGTCTATCAAAGTAAGGCCCACAAATTCAGACCATGGGGCTGGATGTCTTCAGAATACTCCAGAATTCCCAAGAGGTAGTTGATGGTTCTCTCATCCAGTGAAAGAATGGATTTGCTAGTGAGGATGAGCTGACAGAGAGCCAGCTTCCTCCCTCATGGCCTTGAATACGCTGCCAGCAGAAGGCGTGATGCTGACTGAGGGCATCACCTCGAAAGAGCTGAATTTTAAAGGTGGCTCTTCCCACTTCAAATGATTTAATTAAGAAAATATCCCTCACAGATACACGCAGCTGCTTCAGTTTTAGTTAAGCCCAGATGTAGTCAAGTTTACAGCCAAGAACAGCTACCACGGGCATCGATTCCCAGGATCTCTGCTTTGGGTAGACTCTTAGCCTAATGCTTTCTAAAGTCCCTCAAAACAAGAATGGCCTTGTTCAACACAAGAACAAAATGTCCATTTTAGCCAATGTGGACTTGGGGTAAGGGCCCCACTAGGCAACACTGGGTGATCCAGTATTCCAACTGGCATCTCACAACGTCTTTGAAAGTATGAGGAAGCTATCGCCCAGATGGCCAGTTTGCTGAGCGTGTTAGCATCTCCTCTCCATCCATTGCTTACATAGTGAACAGGGATGACAAAATTGTAAGCCAGTGCCCTGCTACTGGATCTTCCTACAAGAGCGAGTCGGACGCCAGCCTTCTGCCTGCTGACTGACCCTGGCTTTGTGGCTCTTTCAGGAGACGGAGGGCTACTCAGGCTCCGACATTAAGCTGGTCTGCAGGGAGGCAGCCATGCGGCCCGTGAGAAAGATCTTCAGTGTGCTCGAAAGTCACCAGTCAGGTATGGCTGGGACCCACAGCGATGGCAGCATGGTAGAGAAATTTGTGCCCATGTATTCCCACTCTTGGAGGGGTGTGGTGGTGCATGCTTGTACTCCCAGCCACTTGGGACCTGAGGCAGGATCAAGTTTAAGGGCAGCTTGGGTTACATAGTGAGCTCAAGGCTAGCCTGAGCAATTTAACAAGACCCCATCTCAAAATCCAAATTCTAAAATGCACTCAGTTAGTGGCAGAGTGCTTGCTTTGTGTGCAGGAGTCCCACCCACTCTGACCAGCAGGTGGAGCCTGGAGCCTGGTTTTCCAGGCTCTGTGGCTTTTAACATTTGTATGCTCTCTGGTGAAATCATCACCCCCACGTACTCAGCTGCATCCTCTGCTGCAAGATTCCCGCTGCTGGTTTTTTTTTTCCTTCCTGGCCCATGCTGACATGAGGTCAGAAGTATCTGAGATACTGTGTAAATAGTAAACAGTAATTTGATAACTATATTTAAGTCCCTTTTGGAGGCAGGGTGGTGGGGTAGCTGGGGTGTCAGAGCTGAAAGCCTCTGTTGCACTTTAGAAAGGTCCCTCACAGCCCTTAGATGTGAGTTTGAGCTGCATTAGCTGTCAAGAACGGGATATTGTGCAGTCTCCAGACCTGGCCCAGTAGCCTGGCAAGAACCCTTGTTACTGTGAGGTGCCGCACCGCGCCTTGACTGTTGCCTTTTTGTCTAGAGAGCAGCGATTTCCCTGTGATCCAGCTGGATACCGTGACCACGGAGGACTTTTTGGATGTGTTGGCTCACACCAAGCCTTCAGCGAAGAATCTGACTGAGAGATACTTGGCTTGGCAAAAGGAGTTTGAGTCTGTGTAAATAAAACTGCACTCAGCCTGACCTGGCCAGAGGCAGTGAGAGCCTCCACCGCGTGACTGGGCTGGAAGGGAGGAGATTTTTCTTGAACGCTGGATGAATCTGGACAAATGTGTTATTTTGGAGACAAGATCTTGTGTCATGGATGTCAGCAAAGTGAAGGCTTTGGTCACGAGTGTGTGGGTCAGGCAATGGAGGGTTTCTTACAATTCCACTATAAAAGTTTGAAGAAGTTTCTTGAGGTATTCCTTATTTGCAAACTGAAGTCTTCATTTTGAAGAAAAGTATTTTCTTAGTCTCTGTTCTTAATTTCTTTCTTGTTAACACATTCTCAAGCCTGTGAGGTACCATCAGTATCCCCTCCCTCCCTCCTTCCCTCTCTCTCCCTTCCTTTCCTCCACCACAGGGTCTCATTGTGTAGTGCTGACTGGCTTGGAACTCACTTTGTAGATCAGGCTGGCTTTGAACTCACAGAGATCTCCCTGCCTCTGCCTCCCGAGGATCAGGGTTAAAGTGCTTCCCAAACACATCCAGCAGTATGCTTTTCTAAATAGCTGAACACCTCATGTGACTCTTGTTTCCCACTCCCTCTGCTCTAGGGGAAGGAGACCACCATAGATGCCCAACTCACTCTTTTCAGTCCCTCTGCCCTAGCTGACCACCATGACCACTGGCCTGCCACCAAGCCCTTAACTTGTTTTCCCAGGGAATAAAGGGAAATCTCTATTCTCCTGCCCTGGCTACTCAGGGCTTCTGAGTACGGAACTATCCACTGGAGCTGCTGGGCTGGCTCATCCGTGGGCATATGACTGAGTATAATGATACCCCCATAGCATTCATCAATAAACAGTAGCTACCCAGGGAAGGGCAGACTCATAAGCCCCTCCCCAATCCATGACTGATTGATAGTCCCAGTCTCTCCCCCACCCCAACCCTGAAACGGGGTTTCTCTGTGTAACAGAGCCCTGGATGTTCTGGAACTCACTCTGTAGACCAGGCTGGCCTCAAACTCACAGAGATCTACCTGCCTCTGCCTCCCAAGTGCTGGGATTAAAGGTGTGTGCGACCACCCAGCAATAGGCCCAGTCTTGGCAGCCCTGTACAGGTGACTGCAGCTGATGAACTGATGATTGTAAAACCAAGACATTCTTAGCAGAGTGGTGTGCAGCCCATCTCCCTGTCACCCAGCTCTTCTGAGATGTTCTCTCAACTATATAGAAGGGCCTATAGTTATTTTTAGTGGGTCAAAGGGTTGGGAAGATAGCTCAGCTGCCTTGCCTTACAAATATGAGGACCTGAGTTTGACCCTAGCATTCACATAAAAATGCCAGGTCTAGGGTACAAGCTTCAAATTAGCATGAGAGGGAGGAAACCCTGGCTCACTGGCCAGGCAGGCTAGCCTATTTGGTGAGCTCCAGGTCAATGGGATCCTGCCTCAAAGGGGGTGAGTGATGTTTCTGAGGTGACACCTGAGGTTGTCCTCTAGTCTCTAGAACATAGGTACACTTGAAAAAGATTATACGCACATTATATACATATATATATGCATATACATATATATGAAATTGTATGAGTGATGTGGGAGTGTCATATATCAATCTGTTGATTTCATTGGTTAAGTTATAATAAACCAGCTGCTTGGCCTCATGGCTGGAACATAGATGGGAGGAGAAAACAGAATAGAATTCTGGGTGGAAGAGGAAGTGAGGTCAGACTCTGCTCTGCTCCCGGAGAGACCCGACAGCTCTGCTGGAGCAGAGACGCCATGCTCAACTCTCCCAGGATGGACAGAGGCTAGAATCTTCCTGGTAAGCGCACCTTGGGGTGC